ACAGACAGACGTCGATTAGAATGCTCTATCAAAGCCGGCCTGCAAGATGGTCGAAAAGGAGCCGTGGTTGTCTTCGTCGAAACAACCATTTTTGCGTCGGAAGACTTGAGATTTGAGCCAGCCAGAAGAAATTGCAGAGGGCCTATGAATGTTCGGATGAATGCTCATTAAACGAACAGCCGATTCGCGATTTTAGCTCTTGGAATCCGAGTTTGCTTAATGTGATGAAAGGATTTCGACTAAATGATCTCCAGGCGAGCTCGAAACTGCAATACATCTTGTGGACTTCTTGTCATTATGTTGTGATAAACTAAACTATCGCCCTTTGCCTACTTCGGAAGAACTCAGATTTCGCCTCTAAGCTCGAGTTTACAAATGAACCCAATATACTACTGTGCAGTGTGGTCAGTAGTAGTTTTTATTCGGAGACATTCAGACAACTCTGCACGACACTACGATTCTGGAAGGTATGGTAGGATGAAATTCAAGACAAACTATGAAAAAACCTCCTCTATCTTGCTTGCGAACAACCTCACACTCGGTGCACAAGCAATGGAGGATCTTGTTAAAGTACCCCCAGAGCGACGAGGTTCCGCTGACTGTTGTAACTACTGACGACAGTGGTACCACTCGCTTCAGAACATTTTAGTGCTCCAAGCATTCGCAAGTAAATAGCATAGGCTTCTCGTCTAGTAGTCCAGACGTCAAACCTTGAATTTGATACATTATGCTCTTCTCTCTCTCTCCAATACACACACACACACACACTCACTCCATAACTCAATCTCTTGATATCTCACGCTGCCCAGCCTACACAGAATTGGCTTAGCCACGTTTCCACAACTTGGCCGTGTTGTCAGGGCGACCTAAACAAATAGATCTCGTCCGAAGTCGTCTGCCAGAGTTGTCGTGATAATTTCCAGCGTTGGACTGCGGAGTGGGTACATTTCACGATCCGAAGCTGGAAATTGTCGTGACTACTCTGGCGGAGAAATGAGAACAAGGCAAGTTGGTACAAGCCGCCCTGACAACACGATAAAGTTGACAAAGCGAGGTCAAGCCACTCCGAGACGACCTCCTTGGTTTCCGAAGTATACCTGACACTACTAATGAGTATAGTTACTCCATTTTATTGGTGATATCCAACCAATTTGGAGCACATAGAATCAGCTTTAGCATTCTGAACAGGTCAGTCTTAAAATTGCACAGGACTTCAGGCAAGGTGCATTCATTGCTGTGGAGACTTCCATTACGAAAGAAAGAACATGATGAAGAGATTCGTTGGTCGATCTGTCCACAAGTGAAGGACCGATTTCCGTTGTCTTGCAGCCGTTTGGCTTAAGTACGACGTTCAGCTTGACAAAGTACACGAGACATCTTCCCTCGTTTCCGATGAAAAAGGGCTCAGCTATTGTCCGTCAAATGATGAATATCGTCAGAGCTGGAATTCATTCTTTCAAAAGTTTCAGGTTGCCACCACTTCAAGGAGACTATCCGGCTCTATCCTAAATGCAATTGATACTCAACTAAAAACGGAAATATATAAATATAGAATAATAAATATAGAATGTAGAGAGAAAGAGAGAGAGAAAAAGAGAAACTTCTGCACGAATAAATTCCAATTCTGATAATGTCCTTTAGATAACGGACGAAAGCTCAGCCCATTTTCAGCCGAAATGAGGGAAGATGCTTCGTAGAATGCGTTTACCTGAAGGTCGTATTTGAACCAAACGGCTGCAGAGAACTGGGAAGCGGCTGTGGTCTTCTGTTGCTATCAACTTTAGGATAATTTTTTCATCTCTTTACGCATCAAATGAAACTCTCCACATTCATCTACATCGTCTTGACGACATGATCATTTTTGAAAACAAGTTCAAACCACCTAGATACAGCGTGAGAAGAGTGTGAGAAAAAGAGAAACCATTACAGCGTTGTCTTCTTATCAGCAGGTGATTAGCCCACACAGATCGGAGGTCAGGCCGGCTCGAACCATTGGTTGCTCACATGAACTGTCCAATTCTGCGGTTATCCAGCAACAGCACTCTGTCGATTCTATGTTTATTGCAGCCGCAACGTCTTCTTGAGGCATGAACTGACCGGAGGCAGCGAGAACGAGACATGAAACTGGTGTTCGCAGGTGAGCCCAACTCGCAGACTGGAGACTGGAGGCCGGAGCCTAGCAACTGGTACCATGTCGTTTCCTTTTGTACTAACTTTTAGCTGCGCCAATCACGGACAAGACAGGACAGGACAGGACAGGACGAGACTGCCCACATCTTGACTGCTGAGGGAATCGAGGGCGAACCGGTGGGATGAGACTCCCTGAGGCCAAATTAACCCCAACCAACTCCACAGCGCACACTCGCGTACAGAAATATGTGGGCGCACGACGCGGAGGACGCATGTGGAGGGAAAAATGGGCAACTTTCTGCCGGCAGGTGTACCTTATGTCGGCAGGATAGGCGAATTGATGCAGTAAATGGAAAGTTTAATTTATCATATTTTGGCTCAATCGCTTGGCTCTGATGGCAGACTCTGGAAATGAGAGTGAAGATTCGGTTGCACAGACCGTTTGCTAATTAATCAACTAAAGTAACCAGGCCTCGACCTGCCCCTAACATGTCGGCCGAGAAGGACCAATTTCTCGGAGTGTCGCCATGACAAGTGGTCTCGGTGGGTAGTCCATCTCTACCACCGTCGGGAGGCTGCAGCCCACCCTCGGGTCCAGAATCGAGACAGGCTGCGGCCACTTTATGCCTCAGATGTCGCCTCTAAGCTCGAGTTTACAAATGAACCCAATATACTACTGTGGCGTTTGGTTAGTAGTAGTTTTTATTCGGAGACATTCAGACAACTCTGGACGACACTACAATTCTGGAAAATATGGCCGGAGGAAATTCAAGACAAACTATGAAAAAAACTGTCACTGCGAGCACACACACACACACCTCCAACCATCAGGGTGGAAAGGTACCCACCAAATCTTTGACCCAACCAAGAAGGACAGTTTACATGATACAGCATTTTCCGTTGCTACCACCCTGACGCAATGGAAAAGAAGGCCTCATTATGTGTCCATCTTCTATGAGTCTTGGATGCCGAAATTCCGTCCTCATCCATACATAATTGAATTGCTTCCTCATCTAGGTCCCGTCCACACACACATACACACACACACACACACACACACACATGCACATTCATCAGTCCAGAGACATCAAGTTTTAATAACCCGTGCCTGGGGTTGTGTAATCCCGTACGTCTAGTTGGCTTGATGGGAGTAGCAGAGTTGTGCACAAATGTGAATGCTGGATGACATTCTCTTGGTCGGCAACTCTCTCTCTCTCTCTCTCTCTCTTTCATAGCATCATTCAAGTACAAGCGGATCTCAATAATCTTCCCCACTCTATTCCTTGCATGCAATGTATTCACCAACTTATAAATCGCATTAAACCCTTTAATCTTGCCTAGTCTTATCCTACTCCGCGAACAGATGCATTTTAGAGCATCTTCAACTCTCTACTTTGTGCTGCGTCACCAGCTCTGACCCTTGAACTCGTCTGTTTGACAAGCAGTTTTTAGGTCCTCCATCCTCACCAACATGGAGGCGACCACATGAGCGCACAAGCTTGCAGCAGTTTTCTCTTAAGGCGGGCATCAATGGACAGAAGGGTTGGGATTTCTTTGAAAAGTACCATTAACCAAACTTTCCACTCAGAAAGTGAGTAGCTCAACTTGCCCAGCCAAAGCCAACTAGTCTCCGTCTGAAAATCTCTTTCTCATTAAAAAGATACATTTTTCAATTAAACTCAAAGGTTTATTAGAGGTTGTTTGACCTTGTTGGAAGGAAGACTTAGACCACACCATCTTGCTCTTCATAATTCTGATTTAACTATGTGTTTTATCGAAGGTATGAAGACCAAGATGGTGTGGCCTTTTGTGTGGTCTCAGTCTCT